AGAGAGAGAGAGAGAGAGAGAGAGAGGGAGAGAGGGAAAAAGATCGGATTCAACCAATGCCTAAAATTTATTTTATTCTATAATTGTGATGATGAAGCAAGCATAGAAAAACTTTTACGTCTCATATCACATCCAACAACTATTGTTATCATACATATGGAATATTATGTCTATTTCAGATGAATTTTAATTTTATTCCATTCTACTAACTTGTTGAAATATATGAAAGACAAAACAGTACGAGATTGCAACGAAATAAATACAAATCTACTATGCGTAGTTTTCTGTAAACAAACAGATTGCTATAAATTCAATTTAGCTATTGAATGAGCAAAAAAAAAAAAAATCAAATTGTTAAGTGAGCTGAGGCAATTCATTTCACGCTTGCGATATTATAGGGAGCTAAAAAAAAATGTTTCTGTATAAATCGAGCATATCAAGCTGCTGAAAAAATGAAAAAGTAAAAATGGTATAAGTCAAGTAAATATGAAAGTATGATGTATTTTATGATTTGAACTAACTTATATATATACATATATACTAAAATGTCATTTTTTGAATTTTTAAGCCGCGAAATTAATGATTTTCAATTCTTTCTACTTTTTCTTGTGATTTAATGCGCTCAATAAAGTTGTCAATTTTCAATTTTAATAATTTCAACATTTGCGATGACCTTAAAATTGTTATTCTGATCATGAAATTTGCCCTTCAACACATGAAATCATCCAGAGAAATGTTCCGAAAAAGGTAGCAGAAATTGCATTTCAAAAACATTAATCAAATGTTAACTATTTGTTATATCACTTCACATATTCACAATTTGGTTATCACTCATAAAATATAAATTCACACCTCATTTGCAGCAATTTGTCAATTTTTGGAGAAATATTGTGGAAGTTCAAGTTTTAGAGATTTCTTACTTTTTTCTAATGAAAAACACAACGATTTAATACGGAAAAAATCTGTTACTGCTCCATTTATGATAATTTTTCATATTGCGCCAAAAACTCGTTGATTCTTTAAATTATAATGTATTTGCACCACCAGGATTAGCTTATCATCACTTCTGGCCATTTACTGCTCTCATCGAAAAGGAAATGACGCAACTTTCCATACTGGTATTCAGATAAATCTTGCACTTAAACATTCCTCCATTATTTTTGTTGTTTATTCATTGAATTCACAAAATTTTAATACAAAATGGGAGAGCATCATTTTTGTGGACAAAGATTAGCGATAAATCAATTGTTTGTTTACTCCTGTTCTGTCTGAAAATTCAGTCAGTGTTCGATCCGTTGAATACAGATCAATCAGTTATAAACAAACTTGGGAATGAGATCATATTACAAAGCACAAAAAGGACACCACTAGGAGTTTCATTCATCAATGATAGATCGCTTTTTCTTTTTAACATGTTCAAATTTTATTTTCATTCCACACGACAAAATCACTCGCTTTTTGCGATGTTATTAATCGATAAAACAATAGCAATAAGGCATACAACGGAAAATAAGCACGATAATGATATTCATCATCTCTAATAATCTTTTATCATCATCTCTCTGCATCATCAGAATATCTGTAACATGGAGACTTCACTCCGATTTGGTTGAAATAGTTACTCTGCTTCCGTTTTTCCAGAATCCTTCAATAAATTCTTTTTATTTGTCGCTTTTCGATCACAATCATCAACTTTCGTCAAATCTAACTTATCGGACTCTTCCAATGGTATATTTCCAAGTGGTGCAACAAAATAATCTTCAACAGTTTTAGCAGCATTTGTGAAAACTTCAGCTTTGGTCATAGGACTATCCGCAACATCTTCTCGCAATGGACATGGTATATCTTCGAGCAAGGTTTCGAGTGGTTTAATATTCTAGAAATGACTTTTTTTTCTAATGTGTTAAAAGAACGGAAAAGTCAAGAATTCATCTCGTCAAAAACAGATGCTAATTAATCAAAAATAATTTACTTTTCCATTAAATAAAATATGAGGGACATAATTTACAGAAACTGACTTGTTCAAAAATTATATAATAAATAAAACTATATACATTACATAAAGATATCAAGATTATTTACATTTCAGTGCAATGCACTTATATTAATATAATCAAGCTGCAAAAACATCAAAGCACAATCGTACAGATCTTAATCGAACATGACCTACAATTTTAAAAAGATTTACCGTCGTGTCAATTAGTTTCAGCTGATTAGCAAATCGTACTGCTTGTTTCAAATTAAAAACTGCCTGCTCATCATTGAACCGTACCAAAGAAAGTCTTTCCAGATGAGTGATGAGGGCCTTGTCAAACACTGGAGGCTCCTCCACTTTACTTTGATCGATCTGTAGAAAGAAACATCTGTATCTAATAATAAACTCTCAGAATTATCACTGTTACCGAAAAAAAAAAATTTGTCTAAATGTACAAGGATGTTACAATAAAATAACATTTCATTGCTTATCGGAAGGAATTTACTTGAAAATTTTCAATTTACGACTACTAATTCTTACGTGAATTATTAAATTTCTTTATTGCTAAACGGTTTCTCCACATTGTATATATAAAGAAACTCAGACTGGATTGTTTAACTTTCATTAATAACATGAAAAATGGCATGAAATGTTATTGTTTAAATTGACAGATATAAATTCCGTCTCAAAATTTAACCGGTGAAGGAGTCGGCTTCCTAGGTACATAAATTTCCTCATCCTCGCCTGATGAGCTTGCTTCGGTTGAATTGCATTTTAATGTTCGCTTTGACTTGTACCGCTCACCAAATCTTACACTCCTAAGCCGTTGCTGTAATATTGATTGAAAGCTAATCATCAAATTGTCCAATTTTACTTCAAATAAGCATACTCACATCGATCCTGCAAATTTTGTAAAACTGCATATACTGAACAAAATCATGTAACCCACACCAAAAATTCTGGAACATTCTTCCCATTTAAATATTATGAATTGATGTGCTTAAAGCAATGAGCTATGCGAGTTTTAAAATGGAATAAAATCCTATTTAAATTAGCCGCATCTTTCTATAACAATTTTAGCAAAATCTAGATTAATGCTTTTATTCTGGATATTTTTATTCTGTTCCTGTTACTAATTTGTATTGTGAATTAAATAAATTTCATATGTCGTGTACGCGATTCACCAACAGAGACCAAAAAAAATTTTGAATTTAATGGACCGATAACACAAATTGAGGAAGTACGCCATCAGTTCATGTATTCTTTGTAATATACTTAACCCCCTAAAGAGATCAATTCGCCAGATCAGAATGTTTTACTAACAATGAAAGGATATCACCACAAAGCTACACAGATATCAAATAAAAGGAGAAAGACAACTGCAAGCAAGGAGGAAGAGAGACAACTTCAAATGAAAACAATATTCATTATAAAATCTCTGAAATGTTCCGATGATTTTCAAGGCCTTTAAAAATTGAATTTAAAATTAAATATATATTCTTGCTAACACTGCTCTGACTGCATAAAATATACGTTAAATGCAGCAAGCGATACCGCTATAATTAACAAGAAAAAAGTTAAAACACAAGAATTCAACTTCGAAACATTGAGAATCCGATCGTTTGTAAAACAAACCAGTTTAAAAATATTAAAAACAAATATACAGGCTATAAAACAGACTTCAAATGTAATATCAACAACAGTGCAAGGCGCCAAAACACATTTACTTCATCAGTTACCGAGAATGCGATCTGTTTTAAGAGAATCCGGCAAGATATATTCAGAAGCAACACTTCTCTAAGTTTTAAAATCAAGAATTTCTGTGTGTAATTTTAGCCAAACATCCGTCGAATATATGTAATATTGAAAATTTTCAACATATACAAATTGATGAAATTATGAAATCCTGAAATCTCAATGCATTTTGCTTCAAATCAAAAATTTTATGAATTGTTGGTCAGATCATGAATTTCGACTCTGAAAAGCGCGTCGTCTTTTAGTGATATTTACCACTGAATCATTCTGCTTTCCAACAGCTACACCACCACATTCACTACCATTCTGGAAAAGTCACATTGTTATCCAGAATTTTAAATCTAGCAAGAGAGATCCTTTTAATTTCATTTCAAGAACATCTGAATGAAAAATAAAGAATCTAAATATTTTCTATTTTAGTAAATTGCTCTGCAACAGGTATTTATGAAATTATTTTCAAAGAATCTTAAAGATTCAAACTCCCATTTTTATTTTTGATTTCAACTCGTTTCTTACCCGAAGCGAATATGAAATCAAAGTCTTTCTGAAACAGAGGAAAACTTACTTCAGGTGTCTCAATAATCTCATCCAGATCGCATTTCAGTGTCTGTTTAAGGGCTCCTGGTGAAAGAATAGCAAACGGTGTTTCCAGAATCGAATCACGTGGCTAAAAGTAATGGTAAACAAAGAGAAATAACAAATTCAAAGAAAATTTAGCGTTAATTTTAACCGGAGTAGTATAAATAATCATCGAATAGTGAAAAAGAAAATCAATCACCATCCAAAATAAAATGTATCGCTCACCCGGTACTGACTCAGTCTTCGTGGCACTTCGCTTTCCTTAGTTTTGTTAATCAATTCGCTTGCGTCCGGGATTTCAACTGGCTCCGGGAGTGCTACCTGCTTTCTACGGACGGGCGTATTGCCTTAAATTATAATTTTTAAATTTTAAAGAATCAAGATAAAATCAATTAGGTGACACACAGCAACTTCCCATTTGCTACCATTAAGAAGTGTTTCGGTCATCGATATACAAGATTTTTGCATGCATGACAAATTTTACTGAGAAATTTCCGATGTTACTTATTGAACGACAGTGACATCAAGAAGCAATTTATATTACAACAGCAAAATTAAATTAAACTGTTCTCTTTGAAATTTAAGCAACAAATACTATGACATTAAGCCGAAACAAACCAGTGCTGGATGGACGAATAATATTCTTTCCAATAGATTGTTCTATTCGAGAATGCGCTTCGGTTACCTCTTGAAGCAACGAAGACGACGCTAATCCACTTAGCTCTATCTAAATTTGAAAAAATAAAAACATCATTTGTGAAACTATAAAAAAATTTGCGCCTGAGATAAACTGTAAAAGATCAGAATGAAAAATTCATTACCTGCCTCACGGCAACATCTGTATTTGAATTTGCTATTTCATTTATTTGTACAGACACTATGTCGCTCTGCTTTTGCAAATCTTTGCAAAATGTTTCCATTGATTTGTGTATCTATAGTAGTTTAATATGAATTTATGTCAAAAGTAAATTTAATACATTAATCAAATAATTAATAAAACAGCAAAGATAGCAAAAGGACTAAACAAGATGGCAAAAATCTGACATTTAAACTTACTTCACTGACATGATCTTTTTGGAAACTGACTTTCTTATAAAAGTCATGTTTAAATAATTCCCAAGCCATTTTATTGGGACATATCTCGTCGACAGTAGTTTTCACATATTTACGTTGCTTTTCAAATGCAGACTGTTGTTCAGCTCTCAACGAGCTCAATTTCTCGCTCACTTGCTGTACTTCCTTTCTCGTCGTTTCAATGTATGTATCTAATGCATCACTGACCTAACATAAAACATGCATTGAACTTGAAAAAAACAGTAGATAAATCGGATATTCGTAAAGATGAAAAATTATGATCAAATGCTTACAACTGACAACATATCAACTACACCGATAAAAACTGAATTAAAGAAAATGTGTGTCTTCAAGAGAAGTACTAAGAGGAAATAAAATTGAGCTAAATCATAAGATGCCTTTGTTGTTCAAAACATATAACAAACAAAAGGATGTCAATGCGAAAACTTGGGTTTGTAAATTCCAATTCACAATCTGCAAAATTAATAGCTAGATAAAACATGCTCATCTATGTATCTTTAACTTACCATATGTTTCATTTTTTCTGCCAATGATACTGTTAAATTGGTGTAATTTGTTGAAACCTCATAACAGCTTTTTTCCAGGAGTTCATACTCTTCTATCTGGAATTATTGTAAATATTCCTAAAATTTTAAAATAATATGTTAAAAGTGTTGTGTTTTCTCTTCTTCCTTTCAAGATATGAAACAATATGCTAAAACTTACTGCGTTTCAATATACTGTTAAAACTATGAAGTGTGACAAAAAAGAAACTCTCTCTACCCTCTACATCTGCAACTACTCATTGCCACCCATATAATGTCAGTCTTAGAGCTTCGAAAGAATGTTAGAATTGTAGAATCTTTTTAGTATACATTCGTTTAAATATGGGAAGTCATAATAAGTTTAAGACTTGACTCGAAATATGGCTTACACGCTTCATTACAAAATCAGTAAATTTGTTGTGTTGCTCGTATAATTTTTCATAATGACTTTGTGCACCATCAATGAACATACAAACTTCCTTCAAAAAACTGACAGCTGAGTTATCAGTACCACCCTAAACAGAATATTAAAAAATAAAGAAAGAGAAATATGTTTTAAAAAAAATACACGGCAGCTTTCCTATTTAGCGTCATATTTTGTTATAGAAATTTTCTAAAGTATGCTTAAGAAACTTCAAAGCTTTTTCACATCTCTCATACTTCCAAACTTGAAATTAAATATTAAAATTACCTCAAAATCAGTAAAGAAGGTTATTAATTGAGAACGGAGTAATTCTATGTAGTTCCGAAATGTAAGCATATCTTTCTCTACATTCGATTTAGTTTGCTCTGAAATTACTCCTATATTTTATTACATAATTGTCTAAATTGGTGTATAAATGAAGATTTCGTAAAAAAAGTAATATTGCATGCTTAATATCAATACTGATATCACAGAGAAAAGTTTCACAAAAACTGAGAATTTGAATTGTTTTGTCTAAAAAATACAAAATAAGTGAGGAAGAACCATAAATAACTGCGCAATTAATGTCAGTTGATAATATTGTACAAACTAATAAGCAATATGTTATTGGCTTGTACAATACTGTCAAATGATATGAATTGCATAGTAAAACTATCATCTGGCATGACTCAATTTATGCTTGTAAGGGAGATGGAGTTTATTTACGCACAAGCATAAATTTTAACAAAATAGTGTTTGATTTCAAAAGCAATGGAAAAAAAGACGGACGAATTTCTCACCACAGCAATCTTTTATTTTTTCCATTCCCGATTGTAACATATCATTCCAGTTTTTAACACCTTTCTTCAATTTGTCAGCACTTTGTGCGCTATCTCTTGTACATTGAATATACAGTTTTTCATTTTCATTTGCCGCATTACAAAAAACATCAATCTTGTCATGTGTTTTATTCAACTCTCGGTCCAAATGTAAACAGTTTTGACGAAGCTGAAAGGCAATAGGTCTTACGCTTAGAATTTATTATTCACAAAAATTAAAATTTGTTTTACAGAAATCCGAAATTAGGATACAAATAAAAATCCGTTCCATAGATTTACAACCTTTAATTTGTCTGAATGATTAATACTAGCCTGTTTATTTTCTGTCTGGCTTCGATTCGCTGATTCTTCTAACTTCTTCAGAACGGATCGATGATTTTCCAAATTTGACTTACAATCTGCTAACTCCTTTAAATTTAATTTACTACCAGTAAATTTGACCCATCAGAAATGCTGAGCGCCAATAAGGAATGTCTTTAAATGCTAAGCTTTGTTTCTAATCCTGCTTATACGACGACTGAAAGAATCAATAAGGAAGAGATCATTGGAAAGAATCCAATCACGCAGCTTTAAGTAAAATCAGTAACACGTATTGTATGCTGTACTATGAAATTATATCAACAATTTTCATACGAATAGGAAATTTTCTTAAGAAACTTAAGAAACTTCTATCAGTAGTTTGTGGTTCTTCTAAACTGATAACAAAGACGTCGCACGAACATTACTTACCAGGCTTAACTGAGCGTTTTCATTGCAACGTTCTTTGTATTTCTGTTCCATGTGTCTGTAACGTTCATAAAGACGACCATAATGCTGGCCCAAGATTTCCGCATCTTGCATTAGCTATAAAAATTAGAAATAAATGATCATAGTATTTCAGTACATAGAAGTCAAATTATAGCACACCTTTCCGGATAATTTTTACCAAAAAACTATTGAATCATAAAATGTGATATATGATGTACGCTATTCTAGAGGAGCATGGGAGAGAGATGTAAAATTATGTTCCTATAACGAGAGAAACGTCTCTAACTAATATAGAAAATTACTATTTCATGAAATAAAAATCCAATAAGATAAAATCTTGCCAACTGAATGCGTTCAAGAACTGATTGCAGTTCATCGGTCAGCACTTCAATCTGTTGGCTTTGTTGAACAAGTTGCGTGCTCATATTCCTATAAATGCCACTTCGAAAGTTTATAAATGAATATTATTTATCGACGAAATCATTAAATGAACTGAAATACAAGGAATTCTGCATCAGATATTAAAATTGCTGGAAAATATGTGTATAATTATAAAACACATGAGCGAAGTTTACTCATAATTTTGACGATCAACAAAGAAGCCCGTCTTGTCTCGCGCCGCTTGTAAATCGCGCATCAGGCGGTTCATTTCTTCATTGTAAGCCTGAAAAAGAGATAGACTAAGAATGTGTGAAAGCTAAAATTGCTTAACTGAAAATGGAACCACTCCACATGACTACGAAAACAAATGAGCATATATAATACATAACAACGTTGTTACAAATGTTGTGTCTTCTCATCATATTCGCTAAATTCGATCGATTTTCTATGACATGAATATACCTTAAGCAAAGCACGATGCGTCAATTTCTGATTTATTTCAGGCTGATTTTTAATATTCTTTGCAGTTGACGCATACTCCAATGTGCTAATCGATTCCTAAATGGAAGAAGAATAGAAATAAAAAACCAAAATTGGAATGTGTTGAGAAAAATTTTTTTACACCGTTAAATCCTTGAAATTGCAATGAAAATCCATTACTTCTAATTGTATCAAACTGAAGTTACAATGCACAACTGATAATGACAACTTACTTCAATGTTGGTAGAAGCAGGTGACAATGTTGCTACAATAGTAGTGATAGTTTTCCCACCCAATGAATCTTGCAAAATTCTCGTAAGTTTGCTCTCTCTAAAATATTTGATTTACTAAGCTTACAGACTTCTATTTTTTTAAAAGAAGAATACTGTACAATGCCCAATTCATTAATTTGATGTGCAAAAGAGAGCACTAAGGATCATTACATATCTCAATGATCATCTATCTGTGCAATTATCAAATGGCAGTTGAGGAGCAATAATGTATCGATGACAAATAAAGTTGTACAGTTGTTCCCTTCCAAATTAGATTTATTATTCTTCAATAATAAAAAATAAATTGGTGAAAACTCTGCTCCGTACGAGATATATTGAATTTTACATAAGAACCTAGCATATTATAAACATATAAACAACCTGAACAATTACCTATACGGGACATGACCAGCTCCTGAAGTTAAAGCCATAATAACTCGACCTAGTGTTAACAACGACTGATTGATGCTTCCTGTAATAGTGCAAGACATTAAAATTATCCAACGAATTGAATTTACGGCATCCAAAATTTCAGAAAAATAGCCATTTAAGAACGCATGAATAAAAAAAAGCAACCTGCTTCTCGAGCCCTCTTATCGATGGAACCGGAACGACCAATATTTTCCGAGCCAGCCAAATCAATTAAACTTAATTTTCCCTGCTTGATAACTTCTTCACCACTCACAGTATTTTCTCGAATTACAACTGTTATTGTAAAAACGGTATGAGAACGGCTAAAAACCAAAAATGAGAAGGAAATGTTTTTTTAATGCATTTAAAATGGTTGAAAAAATATATTTATTTCATTATAACCTTGAATTCAAATTCATTTGAGTCGCGGCAGTTCGCCGTTTTTCTGCACCCCTCTTTAGTAACTCACGAACTTCAAGGCGATCAGACACTGGGACTTCTTCCAACCCACTAACGATTACCGAGCCCTAAATTTATCCAGAATATATCGATTTCTGTAATTTTTATAGACATTAAATAAATTACAATGTTGAAAAGATGTTACCTTTCGTACAGAATCTTCGAAGAGACGCAATCTTGCATGACCCAGCTCAGCATTCCCAAGCAAATCATACAATTCTTCATTGTATAATTCAACATATGATACACGGACCGAGAACTCTTCCGCGTCCTAAAAAAGACTTGGAAAATATGATTGTTTGTTGGATTTATGTAAGTCTCCTACTAGGTGCTACCTACATACATAATATTACCTTTGCAACCCCTTAAATATCATAATGCAAAAAGACGCGGCATTAGGTTTAGACCCTGAATTATATCAGTAATCATCGTCAAATAAATTTCCTTAACGAGTAATATTTGCAACACTAATTCAATAGATGGGTAGAGTTATTATTAATTCAATCAAAATTTTATGTAAGAAATCGTTGAAACTTATAAATTTTCTTATCATCGGATAGTACCTGGTTTTCCAACTCTGTAAAAATATGTTGCAAGGCTCGTGGTACTATACCAACTGCAGAATCTTCGTTCCATGCATGCTCATAAGATGAATTGATTTGCTCACCTTCCATTGTAAATGTTTTGCCTGTGCTTGTCTGTCCGTAACTAAAATCAACCTTTATTTAAAACCTACGCACAAATACAGTTATGAGGGAATAAAATAGCTTGAAACAACAATGATACAATAGTCAGACATAAACTAAATACTAGGAGATACTTACGCAAACAAAGTACAGTTATAACCAGCAAGAACATTCTTAACCAGTGGTTCGACCAAGTCAAAGTATATATCGAGTTGTTTTGCTTGCGTTCCATATACCTAAATTTTGATATATATCGATAACAAAAAAAGATCAATTAAATCTTCAAAACAAGGGAAACTAAACTGAACATATTTTACTGATTCAACAATAATTAAAATGTTAAACAATTCATCAAATCATGATTTTGTATAATGATCAGAACTTTAACAACTTAGTTTTGCAAAACAAGGAAAGAGATTCTCCGAACAAAGGGCAGAAATCCGAGAAATGAGACGATTA